TACAGGCGCCGTCTCCAAAAACAAGCGGGAGGTGCCGACTGTAGCCTGTCGACGGTTCACAAGTGCGGCCGTGCAGGGCAGCGTCGACTGGTACAATGATCCAGCGCAGGTGCAGCAAATCTTGCACGCCTTGATGTGGAAACCTTCAAGGGCCGCCTCGAACTGCGACGACCCAAGGTGGCTCCCTACGGTACAAACTTTCGGCAACGAAGGGCAGGGTGAGCACCATACGGCTGAGAAGCGCTGCGGCCGTCGACAGGTGTTGGGTCTGCACGACCAGAACCGCGCCCGGGACCACAACTGGCTTCCAGAACGGAGATATGCGCGACGGGCCCAAAATGAAGGAAAGAGCCATCGTCGCGCCAGCATTTGAGGGTTGGAAAGGTCAGCCGTGATCTGGCGATCCTCAGCAGATGCCCTAGCCTAAAATTGAAAGGCAAACTAAGGCAAGACCGCAAATCCCGAAACTCCTGGCTGCAGGGGCTTGGGATTAGGCTCTGCAAGTCTGCAAGCCCCTTACGTCGAAACCATCTCTAGTCTAAAGCTTCCCCCACCCAAAACCCTAATACCCTAAACCCTAAACCCCAAACCCCAAACCCCAAAGCCTAAACCCCTAAACCCTAATCCCTAAAAAAAGAAATGCCCAAACTCATTCCTAAGGATTACCTCGGTTTCCTTTGAGGAGCTGTTGTTGCTGAACGCGAGGGCTGAAGCCTTTCAGAGCCCAGAGCCTAAGATCAGAGCTCGGAGACCCACAGACCCTGGGAAAGTATCCGCTGACGGGCTCCTACGGTTCATTAGCGGTTTAGGGTTTAGGGTTTAGGGGTTTAGGGGTTTAGAGTTTAGGGGTTTAGGGTTTAGGGTTTAGGGGTTTAGGGTTTAGAGTTTAGGGGTTTAGGGTACGGTTGATGATATGAATCATGCATTACTCAGAATAAGGAATAGACCATAACTCCCATAGTTTAGGGTCCTTGAATTAAGGTAATACAGGATCTACATCATTAACCGTCTAGCGGGTTCCCTTGCAAGTTTTACGAGTGATAGATAGAGTTCGAGGATTTACGGGGTTGGGCTATGGAGCTTCAAGGTTTCGGGTGGTAGTAGGGCTTGCCCAATAAGCCAGGGGAAAGAGGTTAAACTTTCAGATTACTACTAAATTATAAGAACCAAAATTTTTAGAGGTTGAGCATGGGGGACCTAGGTATTGGAAGTAACGGCAAGAAAGTTAGAACAGCGTTACCCGCACGCTTGTATGCGAGATGTGAGTCTAATGAAGCAGAAATGTTCCGTAAGTCATAACCCTAAACCCTAAACCCTAAACCTTGAGCAATTTGTCTCTTCATCCCCTGAAGGTCTCTTCTACATATGCAGTAACATACTTAAAATACCCCAGGACCTCTTTCCAACAAAAAGGTTCACTCTGTGCTCTGTGCGGTGCTTCTTCGTGTGACATGCTTTTGCGGTTGCGGTTTAGGGGCAGCTGGATGTTGTTACGGTTGATGATATAAATCCTGCATGACCTTAAGGACCCTAAACTATGGGAATTAGGGTGTATTCCTTACTATGGGTCATGCAGGATTTATATCATCAACCGTACGACCAGGAATCTTGTCAATATTAGGGTTGAAGGGGTTTAGGGTAATTAAGATTTGACTACCTGACGCTGACACTATGCATGTGTTTCTAGTCAAAGAAGATCGCTGCACTCCAGGGGAACCCCAAGCCATCCGCGATAACGTCTACACCCGGTTATAATAGACTCTCTAGGTGCTGAACCCTTAGAACCTTTCTTTAAAGCCCTAAGCCCTAAATCCTAAACCCTAAATCCTAAACCCTAAACCCTAAATCCTAAAACCCTAAAACCCTAAAGCCCTTAAGCAGCGCAAAAAACCTGAAGGCTGTCCCGGGCCAGCCTGAAATCTTCCGCTAGAGGACTGGTGGTTCTCAAGCACCGGGCTTCCATCCTCCGGATTTAGCGGTTTTAGGGCTTTAGGGCTTTGGGGTTTAGGGCTTTAGGGCTTTAGGGTTCAGGGTTTAGGGTGTGAGGGTTTAGGGTTCAGGGTTTAAGGGGTGAGAGGGGTAGGGAGGAGGGGGTAGGGGGCCTTAATACCTGTAACAAGGACCGAATAGTAAGGCCTATGCAAAGAAGTATAGTGCCCTCCCCCCCTCGCCCTTAGCCCCCCTAAGGGTCCCTCTGATCAGGCGACAGCTCTGTGCTAGGTTGGGCGCTTAACACATCTGAAAAATATTCCTAAATACTGTCTCCTTAAGCCCAATAAGGGAAAACATAGTCCCAAAGGCCTGCCTCGTCTGGCTTGTCTTGGCTTTTTTAAGGGCTCTCGTATGTGTTCCAGGACGGGGTTAGGTTTTTTGAGGTGATAGGAGGGTTGGGGGTACTATAAGGCTTTCACGATTCGAACGGGGGCATAATCTACCTAAGGGAATGGAAGTACAACTTATTCTTCCCCACCCTAGACCCCAACGCCCAAGCCCGAATGCCCACATTGCACTTGAGCAGTTAGCATCCGGGAGCTTCGCGTTCAAGCTCCTGATTTTCGAGCATTGAGTCCCTGCGAACCGAACAACGCAGCTTAAACATCTGCACACGCACACATGTTCGTGTGTGTGTGCGCGCGCATGCATGTACATACATGCGTACACACATGCATGCATGCAAACATACACAAATTCATGTGCAAACTACTAGTAGTAGTAGTAGTAGTAGTAGTAGTAGTGGTAGTGGTAGTAGTAGTAGTAGTAGTAGCAGCAGTAGTAGTAGTAGTAGTAGTAACAACAATAGCAATGATACACAAACAATGTTAGTAAGCATGATGATACGGACCAAAGATACTGTTAATGATACAAGTAATGATAAACAAATAATACTGAAATATGCTTATCGTTAATACTATTTGTAATAACCCTTGCCATCATCATCGTCATCAACATCATCATAACTTATAACCATGGTCATAACCCTGATAGTCATAAATGGTGATGATACTGCTAAGGATACGAAATGTCTAGAGACATATCCTTAGGAGGCCTATCACTAATAGGGAGAAAGGCTTAGTTGCTGAGTCCATACGCAAAAAGATGTACACTGTCAGGTCTATAAGGGATCTTATTATCCCAAAACGTTTAAAGAGTACCCATTCAGCTACTAAGAACCCTAAGCCCTAAACCCCAAACCCTAAACCCCCTAAACCCTAAACCCCCTAAGCCCTAAACATTAAACCCCTAAGCTAAGAAGCGTGTCCTCCGAGTCTCCTGCAGGGATTCCAGGGCTGGTTCCGGTATATCTGTGGCTGAAGCATCTGAATCCCCAAACCCTTGACCTTGAGGGTAGACAGCCGTATCATTGTTGGGTTTAGGGTTCAGGGTTTAGGGGTTTAGGGGTTTAGGGGTTTAGGGTTTAGGGGCCCTCCAGAGCCCAAGCTCCGGAGGCCTTCTTTTGCAGGACGAGCTCGTTGTTGGAGAGGTACTCCACTTTGAAGTCGTACTGCCTTGCTGGATACTCGTCACACAGAGAAGCCTCGAGCCTTACCCTAAGGGTCGGGTCCATGTAATGTTGATGATACATATATATATATATATAAATCCTGCACTACCCGTTATAAGGAATATATACCATAGTTCCCATAGTTTAGGGCCCCTAAGGTATTGCAGGACTTTTATATCATCAACAGTCTTATCCCAAAAAGTGTATAGTGCATCCTCCCAGCTACTAAGACCAGGATCTTATAGAGTTTAATTGAGTTTATTCTGGGGATGTCCAGGGTCTTGTAGGGTCCAAGCACCTATACAGCACCTGGCCTTAAAAAGGGTTCCTACATAGATAGTTTAGGGTTTAGGGTTTGGGTGCAGGTTGCTCACCCGACTTCCGTTGCACTGCATCACCTGAGGTCCTTCTACTCTCTCCTATTCTGCAACAATCGGCTTGCCCCTCAGCCAGGATTTGCGGAGTGCCGCCTCGCGCAGGTTAGACTGGGGCACCTTCCCAACTTAGATCAACACTGTTCAACAATAAGTCTACAAGTTGGGATCCGATCCCAAACCCTAAGGGTCCAAAGGATCTAATAATCATATACTCGGGTCACGGATAGTAGTTTTGTAGATTAGTATTCAGAAGAGTAGACGATTGTTAGGCACTTGGACCCTTAGTGAGATACCTACACATTCAGAATTTGGGCACCTGGCTATGGATTTCGGCGTAAAAATAGAGCCGCTTAACCCGTGCAGGTTCCATGCCATCTCTGCCGGCCCTGATACAGACCAAGGGTTTAGGGTTTAGGGGTTTAGGGTTTAGGGGTTTAGGGGTTTAGGGTTAGAGGAGTTTTTTTTCCA